ATCAGTTTTGTTACAAAAGCATCATCACTTGCTTCTCTTCCATAATGCTAAATGGAATGCTGTGTATTTTAAAATTACTGTGTGATTCAGTTACTTCTAAAACAAATCTTCCCATATTGATAGACATATTTAAATCAGACAATGCCATAATGCTGATTATAGATAACAAGGCTATTAAGTGCTAAAAATAAGTGTTCTTAAAAAATAAAATAACAAAAAGGAACAGTCTGGAGGAGAAATCTGAAGTACATCTGTATTTGGAATATATGTATTTGAATAGGAGAAAGCACAGGAAATAGTGCAAAGTTATAAAACATTATGAATTTTTTTTTGGTAGAATTTGCTAGAGAGAAATTTATTAGGAAAGCATTCTGTATATCCATATCATTTAATAGTGGCTATAGCTTTTTCTGCCTTTGCTTATAATTTTGTGACTACTATAGGATATATATGTATAAAAATTGGTTTATTTTAAATTCTGTAGGAATTCTTGGAAGTATTAAAAAAAGCAATTGTACCATCTGAGTATTTCTCTTAAAATTCTGACTTCTGCTGTATTCTGACTTCCTGCTTTCTGGCAGGTGTGCTCAGGCCAGTTTAAAAAAAATAGATTAGAAGCAGCAAGGGTGAATTAATTTACTCAGAGAGTGTTCTGTGCATAGAACTCAGCTCCATGGGTGCCAACTGCTGCTGGAGATATCTCCAAATCAATGAGGGCATTCTTCTGCAAGAGAAGTAGAAGTAAGCAGAGAGAAGCAGGTTGCGGAGCACCAGGCAGCACCGGTTCTGCAGAGGTGACCGTTTCAAGGTGCGAGAAACTGGACAAGCTCACTGTGTGGACGTGGCAAGTTGTAGGTTTTCCCACTATTAGTCCCACGGAGGATAAAAGCAATTTAATTTTTTTATTCTGTGCTGTAGCCCATGAATTTTTTTTAAATTTTAATTGAACAATATGAATTCTCTTTGAATCAATGTCCATAGTGTGCTGCCATGCTAAAATGTTATGCAGACATGTTACAAAATGTAATGGCAGTTCACTATGATGCTTATTTATACTTCAACCCCAGCTAAAGGAACTGAAGATGCCTGGGCATCATACTGGTCACTGAGCATAGCTTGCAACACTCTCAGTTCATCCATGTAAGGTGTAAATATCTCACTCAGCGGGCAGAGACCCTGCCCGTATTTCTGGGTATCCTGAAGCTCTCCCTGGAGTACTTGCAAGGTTCTGGATCCATTCCAAGAAGTGGATATAGCAAAGCCCGTATTTCAGAACATGGAAACAACTCCTCCCTTTCTCTCAACTGGTCTTTATTAATCGCTGTCTCTTTGGACAGCATTTTGCTTCTCTAAGTGTTTGTCAGATTTGTGCCCCAGGCATGCATACTTGAGGAATACTGCTTTATTTGGATATTGAATAACATGATGCATCTCATTAGTAATAAGTTTTTTTTTTTCTTTTTTTTTTCTGACAGAACACCAGACTTATTGAAGATGACTGTTGAGTTCATTCAGTGTCTAAACAGGTCCTCACTGCAAATCCCAATCTACTTGAGCAGATGTATAGTAAAATGCCATGGGCAATACTATATTATAGTGTTAGTAATAATGATAATAAACAGTGATATTGAATTTCTTGTCCTCTTTTATATTAAAAGAAATGAGAGCACCATGTCTCGCATTGCAGGAAAAAATCAGTAGTTGACAAGAGGTTAAGGCTGGTATACAGCACAGTGAAAGAGTTACAGAGAAATATCAGACACCATTTATTTCATCAGCAATAGCAGTGTTACGTTACATTATAAATACAGCTTTCACTTCTATTTATACATCTGGCAGCCAATGCCAATGCGTAAAGCGTCTTAGGAGTGGTTCTCCATACTGGGAACTTTTTTGCCAAAGAAGTTGAGGAGAGCTAGGTAAAGTTTCTTTTATCTCAGTCAGATGCTGCCCACCTTTCAGCAGGCATTGGGCTTTCTGTTTATTCTTTCTCCCTCTGAATCTGTTCCATTCCTCTAGACCCTCTTGTCTTCATCCTATGCTACCTGCCTTATTTCTAAGAGTTTCTCGGTTTTTGCTCTTCCTTTGTCCACACTCCATCAATTTCTCTAACTCATATAATCCTTTGTATTCTGCTTCTTACACTCCAGAGGATGAATTTGATTTTTTAACTAGCAACATGGGAGGAACTTCTCTTACTCCTGTTGTCAGTTTTGTGTGATTTCTAAAGAGTAACTGCTTAGGCAAAAAGATTTGCCAGGATGCAGGCTTGCTCATGAATGTAAGAATTACAAAAAGCACTGATTTGTGGAAAACTAAGAGAAGCTCCTGGAAAACAGAAAGGACCACCTGTATTCTGCCTTGCATAGTGCTTTGTTTTTGTTTAAATCTGTATGTTCCAAAATGGTTGACTTGAAGGCAAATATCTCTCTCCATTCTTTGGATATCTGAAGGCTCTACAAACATCAGCCTGATAGAAAGTGTAGTGAATATGCAGTGATTACGTTACCAGATTTGTTCATTTTGTCAGATTTACTTCTCTTTATCTCCATCCCTATTCCACTTTGATGTCTTAATGTTTCTGGCATTAAACTAACATAAAATTACTAAAACCAACAAACAAAGCAGCTTAGCTAAGACTGATTGAATGCTTCTGGGAAAACAAGAACTAACTTGAACTTAAAAAAAAAATAATTTAAAAATATGGCACTTACCTGAAGCTTATCCAGCTCTTTTGGGATTTTTCCCATCTGTGCTGAAGTTACCCTATTAGTTTTTCTTTTTACTCTTGCTAAAGCTTGAAGATGAATGTACATACATTGCAAGTTAGCATATCTCAGCTACCAGTAAAAAATTTGAAATGCTGTCAAATACTAAAGGTGTTTTGTGAAATCTATTAAAAATGCTGCCCTCTTATGACCTTGATTTTCATATATTTTATATGTGCTTATAATAGAACAGCATGATTCATTAAACACATAGCTTGACATTTGGGTTTTCCGTATGTTTTTGAAAGTCTAAAATGAAAGTGATCCTACCTCAACAGTTTTTTTTTTATAGTGTACTTTGAACAGAACATTACAGATGGTGCTCCTTGATTGCTCACAAAATTTCAGGTTTGCAGAATCATAGAATCATAGAATGGTTTGGGTTGGAAGGGATCTTCAAGATCATCTAGTTCCAACCCCCTGCTATAGGCAGGGACACCTCCCTCTAGACCAGGTTGCTCAAGGGCCCATCCAGCAACCCAGCTGCTGAACAACTCTCTTTGGTAATCTACCAAAGTGGATTTCGACACTTTGTGTCATGCATTGAGGCAAAAGTGAATTTCCAAATGAAATCCAGAATTACTTAATGGTAAGTAATAATAAGCCCTGTAAGTTGTGTCTCTGGAAATTATTCTCAAATTAATGATCAATACAGTTTTGTAACTTCCATTGTTTTTCTCCCATTCTTAATTTCATAGGTCAATCCCTTCCCATTCACAATCTCATAACTTTCTTTTGGCAGTTCAAGCAACAAAAGAAAGTGTACAGTTGGTGTAAGTGTGGGTATCTATCAAGAAAGAATATCAAGATTGGAATTAGGAGGGTCAAATCTTAACTAGCACTGAAACTGAAAGAGATGTGAACAGAAAAATGAAGCAGAACAAAACAAAAAAACCACCCAAATAATGTGGGTACATTGGCAACACGAGGAAGATCTTGGAAAATGCTGCCCCTTGGTGAATGAAGCTGGTGATGCAATAATAAATGATGTGGAAAAAAGAATGAGTGCTGAAAGCAGTGGTGTCCTTATTTCTGTCTTTAGTAGTAAAGCTGTCTCACAGTTCTTGCCTCTACTTCTAGAAATAAAGTTTGGGGGATAAAATTGCCAAGCATACTAAGTACTGAGTCAGAATTAGCTAGAGCAAGCTGGTTGCATGTATGTCCTTAGGACAGGTGGGATTCATCCAATGGTGTTAGAGGAGCTGGTGCCAGTGTAAGGCCTCTCTTTAGCTTAAAAGTTTACATAAAGTGCCTGATGATTAGTAAGAAGAAAAAGATTATGTCCATATTCCGAAATGGCAAGCAGTGGAAAGTGATGAATTACAGACTTGTGGTCCTATTGAAAGTACAGGAACAAGTATTTATAAACATGTCATTTCTGGAGAGATAGGATGATTTATTCTGAAGCATAGATTTTCATAAGTTTTTATTATTATCTTCACACAAATAGGTGTATGCACTTTATTTTCTTCCTGTGCTGATTGACTGCCACACTGAGTCTTTTTCATGGAACACTGATAGCCAGTTGCTGCAAACTGAGGGCTATCATATAAGCATCAGGTTGGTTATAGCTTGCCCTTGGAACTATTGATTCAACACCTAGCATTGCTCATTTGCATGGTCCAGAAGAAAGACAAACAAATTCCCCTTTAGTCAACTCTTGTGAGGCCCCATCTGCAGTACTGCATCCAGGCCTGAGTCCCCCAGTACAGGAAGGACGTGGAGCTCTTGGATCAGAGGGTCCAGAGGAGGGCCACTAAGATGATCAGAGGGCTGAAGCACCTCTCCTGTGAGGAAAGGTTGAGGAAACTGGGCTTGTTTAGCTTGGAGAAGAGAAGGCTCTGGGAGACCTCATGGTGGCCTTCCAGTACTTGAAGGGAGCATATAAACAGGAGGGGGAACGTCTGTTTATGAGGGTGGACAGTGATAGGACAAAGGGGAATGGTTTTAAACTGAGACAGGAGAGGTTTAGGTCAGATATTAGGAGGAAGTTTTTCACACAGAGGGTGGTGACACACTGCAAAGGTTGCCCAAGGAGGCTGTGGATGCCTGTATGGGAACTGCTGAGTCACGGCCTGAACCTCTGATCACCTGAGACGAGCCATGAGTCAGCCAGAGGAGCACAGGTGAAGGCAATTCACCTGTGCTGCCGGAAGGGGTGGAGCCAGGCTGCACCCCTCCTAGACCTGTTTAAGAGCTGGCTACCAGTGGGAAAGGTTCTCTTCTGGAGATCCCTTCTTCTGGTGCTTTCTGTAGGTAAGCCTTCCATTTATTCTCCTTGTTATCCTAGTCTATTTTGTCTAACTCTCTTGTGATTATTGCATCTTAATATACATTGATTATATGATGCCCCATCCCTGGAGGCATTCAAGGCTAGGCTGGATGTGGCTCTGGGCAGCCTGGTCTGGTGGTTGGTGACCCTGCACACAGCAGGAGGGTTGAAACTAAATGATCATTGTCCTTTTCAATGCAGGCCATTGCATGATTCTATGAAATTCATTTTGTAATTTGGCTTGGTATTTACAAAGCACAGCTAGCAAGGAGAGTAAATAGGTTCTATTTCAGTTAAAAAAAAAAACAATCCTTTTTTTCTCTTCTTTAGAGGTGCTAAACATTACTTACTTTTCTCCTTCCCTGCATTCCTTTTTTACCAGCCTCTGACCGCTATAGCAGCATCTTCCCCAAAGCACATAGTTCCCTACAGTTAACGTAGAAGTTCTCTATTCCAGCTACTCTTGTAATTTAATAAGCAAATGTTGACTGGTACAATCTCTGCTTTAATATGGCTTGACACCACTGCTCTCTGTGTTTATATCCAGTGCTCAAATACTGATGAAGGTAAACTCTTCTTCTGGGCATGTGGTGAAAGAAAGATCTGCAGTTTAATCATAGGGAAATCAAACCATTCTGAACATTCTGGTCACTGATTCTCATTGACTATTTGGCTCTCTCAAAAACTGACAGTTTCCCTATCATCACTATCATCTGACTTTCACCTGTGTTTCTAGCAGGGAAACCATGCAGATAGTTTTCTAATCTGCTCAGGCGTTTTCCTACACTGGTGAAATCTACTAAAAAAAACTCCTGATGAAAACAGTGCTGCATGAAACTGTCCAAGTTAGAATGACTGACTTTACAGGATAGGAAACTTCCCTGCGCTGTGAATTTCTTACTGCCTAATTAAGGTGCTTTTGAAAACATTCCCTTGATGTTCATCAAGACTCAGAGTCATCTGCTGAATATCTCTTTAAAGAGAATTCTAAACGTGAAGTTGTAATTTCTGCACAATCCTTCAATTCATCAGTTTTTATTTTGATGTTAGAGAACCTTTTTCTTATTGCAAATACATTTGTATGCAAATTATGATGCAGTCTCTTACTGATTATTTGTGACATACGCTTGGATACTGCTATTATATATGCACTTATATCTGAAGCCAAAACAATTATTTAGAAGTTACAGGACCTGTGACATTAACTGAGATATGAAATAGTCCATTTGTATCAAAGTGTTCTACGCCGTGATTTTTTACTAGTCGTTATTTATATGGCTAAGCTAAACATAAAGAAAGGATACTTAATTTAGGAAGTTGTGAGCAATACACATGTATATTTCTTCTAAAAGAGAAAAACATGCAGATCACAAAGCATATGGTTGTCTCTCCTTATCTGTCATTCACTAGATTCTGCCAGTGATGTTAAAACTTTGTATATCTTTTTTTTTCCCAGTTTCAATTAATAAGACATTTTGTACCTTTGAATAAGCATGAAGGGTGTTTTGTAGCTACATTTGGGTCTTCTATCTTAGTGTACTCTGACCTATCAATATTCCTGAGAGGAGCCACCTCTTTTTGTGTTTGAAATTGTATTGCTCTCATGGATCTTACCCTCTGGAGCTTTTGTTCAGACCAATACCTGTTTTTGGATGAAAAGTATTAGGAAAGTAGACATTTGAGTTTCCCTTCAATATGATTGCTACAACTGGAAGTAGAGAAAAAAAACATACGCTGTGCTCAATGTAATGACAACCTCTGGATAACTGGTTATTTATTGGTCACAAGACTGAAAGTTTGTTGGGAAGGATAAAGGGAGCTGACAGGTTTGAGTTCAGTAAATATGGCCAACAGAGTTCTGCTGTTGAAAGTCCGTTACTGTATTGTATCATCACAGATTAATATAGAAATACTAATGCTATCTTTGTTTTCCTTCATCTGTTTTTCCCCCGTGATCTAATGCTGTGGTTTAGGTTCAGTGAATATTTGAAATGATGTTATTAGCATCCCACAGGTATTTTTTAAGTACAAGTAAACAGAAGGTGGATGGCTATAGTGCAAAATCAGATGTTGTATGGATGTATGATGAGAGGAACTTCTGTAGGAAGATGTGTGATAGAAACGACCTATAATCCAAACCTATTTGCACAAAGGCAATAACTTATAGAGAAAGGCTCAATTTTAGATGATGAGTTTTGGGTTGTTTCAAACGTAATAAATAGAAATCTCTCTGCAATGGCATGCTGCAGCTTAAGATGTCACGTGGTAGCCTCCTGTGCGAGAGGAAGAAAATGTCATAACTATCCCACAGCATTCAGTTGTGGTAACTCACTAAGGAATGTTTCTCAAATACTCAGTGAGGGTTAAGCATGTTCAGAAGAAGCTGGATGACCAGAAGTATTGCCAGAAACTGAGGAGTTCTGATTCCTAACGCTTTGTGCAAAATCCTTTACAGGCACTTAGGCATTAAGGATTTTAAATTCCAGCAAGTTTTTGCTAGTTCTTACTACAGCTTTTTTTTCTGACTTTTTCAGTGCCAACTGTCCATAAAATTACTTAGAAGCCTGTTACTAATTCTAGAACTGGCCTAATAGAATTAATAGTACTAACGCATTTTCGTTGTTCTATTACTGCTGAAATCTGTGTACGGTGTTTTCCAGGCATAAAATTATAAACCTTTGTATTCTTTGGGACTCCACTGCTGTCATTTGTGCTATCAGATATAAAATTCTCAGTCACTTCTCCAGTTCAGAAACTCTTAAAAGTTTCAGAATGGTAGATGGGCGTTTCTTAAGCCTTAAGATGAGAAGTAATAAACAGTAGTACAACACATGCTGACAGGTTGCTTTTTTTTTTTTTTTTTTTTTTTAAGAAATGACAGTTGTTGAAATATTTAACAGGATTTGTTCATCTGCATCTCCACAGGTCATAGATGCCATTGCTTTTTTTGTTATTATCATTTTTTTCAATATGGTTATCAGAACTGTTTTTTTGTCCATTTGTTCTGTATTCGTGTGTTTGAAACACTTTTAATATCTCTCAAAGCCTACTGCAATCATTTAAAACATTTATATCAAAAACATTCTCCTTCATGTTTAAAAAAATAGAAATAAAGTATTACATTAAATAAAGAAAGCTTATGCAGTCTTATGCCTTTCCTCTTTGTAATTCTGTTGGATAGACTTCACAGTTATCCTCTGCCCTTCAGATTTTAGAGGCACATGGGCTGGAAATGAAGAATGGAAATGATCATGCCAACCCTCAGATTTTGTCCCATTGGGGTGGGGATCTTAACCAAACAAAACTAGCCAAAAAGGTAAGATACAGTGAAGAAAAAGGATGTGTATCTGTAGCCTTATACTAATCTCAGAACAGTTTAAACTGGAAGAAGCCTCTGGAGATCTTTTAGCCCAACCATGCACTCAGAGATGGGTCAACTTCAAAGTTAAATCAGATTCCTGAGGACCTCATCCTGCTGAGTTTCCAGAAAAAGGAAATTCTGTGATTCTCTCTGGGCAGCTTGTTCCAGTTCTAAATGAGTTCTCCTCACCTACCAGCTGTTCCCTTGCTAATGCAGCCTTCATTGCCACAAGTTGCTCACCGAGATGGCAAGTCCTTTTCTACACAGGTTCTACCTAACCTGTTGGTCTGCTATTCTTCTTCTCCTCTATTCCAAATTCTACCATTCTTTCTCCATAATATGTTCTTTTTAAAAAAATTATTATTATCCTTGTGAGGGGTTTTCTGCAGTTTTGTAAATACAAACACCACATATGTGCTCTCTCTGTTACAAAACTTTCAGTTCTGTCAGTGGGGTTGTGAAGGACTGCAAGACCCATGAATTTTATTTTTCCATGGTGAGCCCTCCAAAAGCAGCTGATCCAGAGTAGTTCAGCTACCTTCCTGCTCCCTGAGGAGGAAATGGGAGCCTCCAAGTTCTCATGAAAAAAATATATATAAGTTCAGCAGGCATAAAATTTATTTTTAATTTGGGATATAAGATCTAATTCATTAGATTCTAGAAATAATCTGTGGCTTCCTTTCTCACAATCTTTCTTGTATATATTTTGTGTAAGTAACTTCTGAAAGCATTTTGGAAATTAATCTACATAGGGAATATAATAGCATACTACTAAACCATTCAGAATAGATTTACTTGTAGATAGTCAAATAGGCACAATGAAATTCTTATAGGAATAAGAAAGTTCAATGCTGCAGTAGTAGAAAAGGAGCAGAAAGGCTATTGAACTAATTGTAGAATAAGTTATTAAAAGAACTGCTATGGTGACAGATGGAAATAAACACTGCTGCATGAATAATAATCATGTTTTTCCCTAACCAAAGATCAACTCTAGACATTCTGTCTGAATTAATTTTCCTTTAAATTAAGAGAAAAATAAGCTGAAAACAAAAGAATGAAAACCTTACATATGTTCCTTCGTAATGCATTGTATTGTTTCCCTCAAAAATGAAAATTGCCTTTATATATGAAACATTTAGAAAGCTACATGTATGTGACACAAAAACGAGAGAAATAACATACATCATTTTATCAGTAAGAATCCTAACTAAAATTGCAGCAAAAAAGAATCCTTAAACAACATATTAAAAAAAGCTTGTCCAAATGTGGGTTATTCACAAGAAATTAATCCCAAGAAACAGAAGTGTGTTCCATATAGAGATTATGGTCATTTAAAATAGAAGCCTACAGTGATACCTTTATGTGTACCAGTGCTCCCGGTACACAGTCTGTATAAAAACTTGGCCCTGATTTATTCTTTTTCTCTCTGCAGAAGAGGAATTACGATTTTCAGAGCAGCTAGCGTGTGCTGTCATAACGGAAAGGGGAGCAGAAGTAGTCGTAATCCTATGAATAAATTCAGGGAGCAAATCTGTACTTTGTACATGGGTGTAATTCACATTGCCTCTGAAAAGAGTTCTGCAGAAGCGATGAGTACAACATTAGTTGGGTGGTTCTTCAAATCTCTGTGTCAGCCCTTCTGTTTTTGAGCTGCCATGGTTTATGTGTTGCTTATTGTAGGCTCTTATGCTGTAACCTCTTCTAGGTTGGAACGTTTTCATGTTGCATTTTGTGAAGCACTAAGCATATTCTTTGGCCTAAATAAATAATGAGTTCTAAAATAGAAACATGTCCCTCAGACTCCAACCATCAGAGACACGCACCAATCTTGTTTGCATTACTAGATGGTTCAACGCTGATTTGTTGTATTGTTATGTCTTAAAACCTGTGAGGTTAAACACCTGAAACTATTTTAGTGTCTGATTCAAGCAAAGTTAGTCCTGTTGTGAAAAGCAGGTATTTCATGTATGCTGAGGTCTGAAACAATTCTGGGTGTTTGCTAAGTAATTAACGTGCTTTTTCCTAAGTGTAGCATATGGCAGGCAAACTTGTAAACATTACCCTAAGATACCCTTTTTATTGCCGAGTTCTGAACTGTAATTCTATATACGTATAATATTTTAATAATAGCTATTACAATGGCATTGATATTTTAATATTACCTGGGACAGTGACAAGAGTTTGAATCTGCTTAGAAAAATTGTCACGAGTGTTCAGCCGCACCTTTCAAAGCCGTACCAGCTTTGATTGTGCCCTCAGCCACGTTTAAATCAAAGGATTTTTCTGGAAGCACAACCCATATCAGAGCTTCCCCAGTCAGACTGCCTCAGGATGGGGATCTCACATGGCTTCACTTCCAGTTTCAGAACAGAGAGTGAAGATCTCTTCAGAAGCACGGCTGAAGAGGTCATGTCTGAGGAATCAAAGTGGGAACTGAAACCGGAGTGTGTAACTGACCCTCAGGAGAGATTTAGCACTGTGCTGCCTGCCCTCTGCCTGGGCGCTAAACTGGGAGAATAAGGTATTGAATAGGTATAAGTTGCTTATTCATTTTGCGCAGCTTTTCTGCTTCAATACAAGGCTAATGCACGGAGCAGGCAGGAAGTCTCAGGCTGCTTTTCTGCGCTGCGAGATACAATACTGAATGTTGTTACTCTGTAGCTCTTACTCAGTGGGCCTTCCTGAAGAAGAGAGCAAACTGTTTTCAAGGAGATTCAGCTTGGTAGTCCAGCAGTTTTGTGGGTAATATTAATAGATAGAAGTGCTGGACATGTGATTTACAGAAACCAAAGACTTAAATAGTCATACTGGCAACACAGGCTTCTGATAAATAAGCCTCTGCTTTGCTTTCCTTTGCTTTGCCTTTTTTCTTCCATATATTGGAAGTCGTCATTACTGTCCAGCACTAGAATTAACATCCCATGTGATCCTGTAAAAATATTTTTTTCTTCCTCCTGTTCCCCTTCTCCCTCTTTTCCTTTGCATGATGTTTCCTGCTTAAGATCTCAATTTAATTTAAGTAGATAATTAATCAGTACCAGATAATTCTTCCTGCCTGTTCTGCAATGCTCTTTGTTTACAGCATGCACAAATGATGAATAATGCCACCATCTTTCAGTGAGTAGCAGACTTCTATTTTGTATACTTACTACAAATCAACATTTATCCAGATTTCATTTTAAAATGAAACATATACTTCTATGTATCTACTATACAAAGTAAAAAGGGAGAACTCCTGCACCTGTGGTAACTGTAGAACATAAAATGTTCTGGCTTGGCTCCAGACACTGTGGGTGCTTCCTTGACTACAGAGGGGAGATCAGTTTTCTTCTGAAGAGTGGATTTCCCTCCACAGGGAAAAATCCAAAATTACAATCTCCCATCAAACTGTAACTTAAGTAACGCATGCATTTTGGAGATAGTTGGGATGATATAATAGGAAAAGTTTGAGCTGTAAGTAATAAATCAGTTCTGGGGGGTTGTTTTGTTTATTTTCTATGTCTATGAGAGGAAACTTGAGAGATGAAAGAAGCCAGCTGATCACATCGGCTTGGTGACCACTGAGATAAGATCCCTTGACATCATACAAAAATTCTTGACGCCCACCTAGTTCCACATTTCTGCAATGCATTAAGCATCCTGTTGCTGCTTTCTGCATAATATAAATTACATGTCCACAAAGGCACCATGACTTGAATGATCTATTTGTAATTAAAGTATAATTATAATGCATTTTCCCCACCTCCCACATATTTATTTTTACCACTTTTCTTGTTCTGACTCATAGAAGACATGAAGGGAAGTGCTGAGGCCCCATCTATTGAGCAGCACCTCCGAAAACCACAGCAGTCCCACTTAAGAAGTGTTGCTTAAGAATCTGTATCCTGAGGACCCACTGCAGTTCTCCCTTCTTCCAGAGAAATACTCTAACCCTTAGTCAGGTCCTTGTTTATGTATTTCTTTACTGGCTCCCAGAAACTTGCAGTAGGCTCAAGTCTTCCCCAGAACCTTCTGGTATACAGTCTATTTCTAGCTGCTTATAACTGTTAGTGATTTAGCTAACAAACATCTTCCTCATTGTGGATTTTCATAACTACTGGAAAAAAATCCCAAACAGCAGTCATTTCTTAGAATTAAACAAGAAAAAGTGTATCATTTTCTCCTAAACTGAGTGGAATCTTTTGAGAGGCTAAAATGAGCCATGAATCGAGGCAAGGATTAATAATTTGACTGACAGTACATTTTTTGACTTAGATATGCTTTTGTCAGCCCTATGAACTCTGGTTTAGTCGTGAGCCCTCAAAATATTCTGTCAGGCTCTAACTCTTTGAAAATGACTTAATCTAGAAATGAGTTTGTCTAATTCAGAAATCAATTAAATAGGTACTGATTCTGGCATCATATCTCTTTGTGACTTCCAGACACCCAACCATGAGAAATGACTGCTTATGTTTGAAGTCAGCGTGCTCTGGACTGTGTGGGCACTCTTTCTCCTGACTTTACCCAGCTTCTTCTTCAGATGTACTTGGTTCAAATGTGACAAATGCTATCCTCATGAAAAATAGAGGAGAAATCATTAGATGAAAAATTTACTGAAAAAAGGAAACAACAGCTGGAGTAAGTGAGAGAAAAAATTGACTAAGAAAGGTAATATGATGAGATTAGAAGAAAAGGAAATAGATATTGGTCTAAGTCTATATGAAGTGTTGAACCTTTGGAGAAGTTTACAGCTTACTGATATGAAGTAGAAATTGATTTCTTTTCATGATTTTTAGTATCATTTGTTACTTTAAATTTTTGACATCATTGAAGCTGAAGTATAGACCTTGCTTCTCTTTGTCAAGGGGATACGATTAAAAAGCTATTTCAATACGCAGAATTTAAATCCCAATTAGTAGTGGACACTTAACTTGCATATGTTACATGTACACTTTTAAAGTGAAAGATTTTAAATTTTATGTTATTTCCTTGTATCTGCCAGGACTTCACGTTCCATGTGCTTTCCTCTTTAAAAAAATGTCCAGTGAGCTGCAAAGGAAACTACAATCAGGCTTGCATGTATTACTGCTCTATAGAATCAAAACCCCTGAGAGCTTGTTTTGTGTTTTATCTTCCCCAAAGACTTGTTAGCAGAGAACTGGTGAAATGTTGATATCACAGGAGTCATTACATTGGAACAATTACATGAAGGAATTTTAGTTGCAGTGTTTACAGCTTTTGGGCTGAGGGAGAGGATGTCACCAGAATACTGGAGGGAGAAAGAAAATTTGTAAGGGAAATCAAAGATCAGGGAGCAAGAACATAAGGATTTTTAATCTCAACTTTTTGCCTTTGGCACACAAAATAGAAAAACAGAACAAGATGGTTCATACCGGTTTCAAAGCAGATTGATGTTAAAGAACGCAGCTTTCTGTTTTTGTTTTATGTATTGACATCCTTCTAAGTGCTCTGACCAGAGTCATCCTGTGTCTCAAAATCATGTTTTAGCAGAGAAATATAAATATCACCAAGCATCTAATCTTCCAAAGCAATAGGAGCGATATAGCCATAGCGTTTCAGTATTTTAAAACTTGCTTCAACCTGAGATGATTCAAGTCGCTGACTTTCAAGAGGACATAGACAAGAGCCTCTCGCTTAACTCCCTTTAATTCTGAGGTCCGGTTGCTTGGCTTTATTCAATGTTAAGCCCCCAAAGCAAAGAGACTTTACTACACGGACTAAAAAAAGCCCCTCTCTTCCTTCTCTAACAAGCTGACCTGAATTCTGAATAGCTGTACTTTATGCCCCTGGAATTAAACAAAAATAACTGCAATTAATATCTCTCCTGCCATATGCCGTCTTTCAGTAGAATATTTTATTATTACCTTGTTTAAAAATAAGTTTTTCAATTAATGGTCTTTTAGCAAATAAAAACACTTTATGGCTGGTGTGAGGTGCATAAGCAAATGTAAGAAGACCAGTTGCATTCAACTTTAAGACTTAGTAACTCAGATAATTATGCAGAACTAATTAATTCAAAATCTGTTTATCAACAATAGAGTGTAGCTCCAGCATTTCATCCCAGAGGCATTAACAAAGGCTTATCACCTGCTTTTGTGTTGCATTTTTGTCTCAAAGGCAAATCAATTGACAAAGGATGTAAAAAATGCCATTCCCATAACTAACACTTTATAGAACTTGCAGGAACTTTTAATAGCTGCTACCAATTAATTTCCCTGACTTAAATTAAAATAATTTCTAAATGGAAATGAGATGTGCTAAAAACATCAACACATTCACTACTAATATATGTGCTATGTGAAAAGGAAATTTGAAATACAAAGAAATATTTAAAGAATTTAAATAATTGCTTAAGCATTAGGCTGTTATTCCTGTCAAAATATTCACTGTGCAGAACTTGTGCAGCACTATACATGCTTTAAACCTTTCTGTTGAAGAACTATGTTGATGCTATTATTTTTATTACTGTCTTTTTTGCTGCACATTCTGTTCTTTCTTTTCCTCATGTTGTTCTTTGAGCTGCAGTTTTTCATTCCCTATTACCTGTACCGCAATAGAAATGTTAACTAACAACAGTAGATGTATACAAAGTGCCTGTCATGGGTGGTTTTCACATTTTTCTGCAGGTTTATCATGTAATCTAACGTGTGAGTAGCTTAGTGTCTGCTTGAGTGTTCAGTGTGAGGTGTCACACATTCATCTAAGATAAGGTAGTTCTGCACCTGAGAGGTTTGTATTTATTTTCCATCAATATACATAAAGCATTATTATATGAAACAGATACACGAATCTCTACTTTAATGATCTAACCTGCAGAATATCAAGGGCAGCTGACTTCAGCGCATTTGTGGAGTCTCCTCACGGAATCCTGTTTCCAGTGTCTTTCTAAATACTGAGTTCAAACTGAACCAGTAGCCATAGCTACATAATTACAACAATCACATATGGAATCTGTAGATCAAATCCTATTCCTGATGAAATTTGTTACATAAAGTGCTTTTAGCATGACTCAGATACCCACATCATCCTACAGATAATCATATGTGCATTCATGTATGTGCACAATTAGCCACGTGCATAAACTTTGACAAGATTAGAGCCACTGTCACAGCTATTGTGCTCATGATTATTTTCTTATCAATCCTTTCATTGTTTTTTGCATCAGTTGGTAATTTCTTGCTAATAATTCATGCACTTCGTTGGAATTGACTTCCTTTCTAGAGAGATCAGTGACATACATTAACATAATTCTGTGTTGAGGCACGTTGCTATTAATATTGCCAGCTCATATTTAAACAAGGTTTTGGAGTAAAATATAACTGTTTCCTCAATATATTTTAGTTTGGTGTGATTTGGGCCGATAACAGGTAAGAAAGACCAGTTCAAGGAGAAGGAAATACAGATGGTCTGGATTTTACTGCAGGTGTCAGACACATTCCCTTTTGCAGATGAGCTACATTTGCTTAAGTATTAGCCACAGCTTGAAAATGTGTGGAACAAAGATTAGGAGGAATCATGGACTGTGCTCAGTGTGCTAAAGTAAACAATTAATTCAGCAACAGTGAAATTAGATACACCCCAAAATACTCTTTGTATTGCCTGCTCACAAGAAGCTATAGGTAGGGCAAAGAGAAGTGACAGTCAAGGGTTAAATTATGAAATTTTGCAATTTATTTCTTATCATTTATGAGATTGTTAAATGTCAGAAAGTGGATTTTTTTTTTTTTTTACTATCAGTATAAAACTGAACATACTGTGAGACATAAGGTAGCAGGTGTCTTGGCTCTAAACTATCAAGTCTGTGGGCATTCTGTTATAACAGGTGCTCCAAAAATTTGAACAGATTTTAACAAGAGCTGTATGGGCTTTTTAATTAGCCTGGTTACTCAGCATGTGGAGAAAGCACTAGGTATGTGCTTAAAACATCATTGTGTCTTGCAAACAAATGTTTCACATACTTAAAGTCATTCTTCTTGCTTATCTTAGAATTCCTTTCTATTTGATGCTAGGGTTTGACCCTTCTGTTCATTCCTTTTATCTATTCTACCTGAGAAGAATCATCATACTAAAAAAAAATAGTTGCATGTTGTAGAATCTCCTCTTGGGTAGACAGCATTTAATAATTTGGATTTACCTGATATTTAGCTGTCATTTTACTTGGCATCATAAAACTACAACAAGCCGTGCACCACAGAAATTCTCTGCTCAGAATACAAAGTGTCTTTTCTTCACATTCAGTTATATTTTTTTCCACTATTGTATGTCATCAGATTTTTATCTATTAAAGTTGAAGCAATAAACTAAATGAAAAATCATTAAAATAATTAATAATGTTTTAATGCTATAGAAATTAATGTAAGTTTAGGACTATCTTGCATGATATGAAAATAATGCCACATAAATCCATTTTTTATAATGGTTTGAAAAGAATAAGCCGAAGAAATCACTTTACACGGGGGATGGGGGTGGGAGTAGGAACAAAGTGGTGGCATGTATGAATTTTTTTGCAAAATATCCTGGGTGAAATTTCAGATTTAGATTTATTAGTTTATTTTTACATCAAAACGATTTTACTAATTCATTACTCTGTCATGCTCTGACAGAAATATCTTCTGCCTGTATTCGCCTAGAAATCTTTGCATCTATAATGATTTTGTTGCTATAAAGTTTAATATTGCACATCTTAAATTACAGAAATCAGTTTTTTTAGCTCAGTAGAGATTGTTGAGATATTATGTGGAGGATTTCACACTCGAAAAAATTCCTGTCAAAATATCTTTAATCTTTTGGTGTAGGATTAAAAATACCAAGACACATTCGGATCCATATAAAATACATACTTCAAAAAGTGGGCTCAATTTTAAAAATGCTTATATCTGCTTTTTTTTTTTCCATTTTTACATGAATTCATTTCAGAAATGTACATTTCATTCTTTTCCTTGTAAATTCAGCCTCTTTCCTTGCTTTATTTTTTCACAAAGACGTGCTCAGCAGTAAGAAACACAAGAATAGTCTGTGATCACTATCTGCCTAAAATAATATTAATTATCATGCTTACTATATGTATATATATAAAATTTGGAAATTCTAGCCATCTTATTTGCCTAATGGGTGCATTGTGACACGGTGAAGTGAAGGCAGCATCATAAATGTTAGCTAGCAGAGGTGACAACAGTGATGAAAAAAAGCATCAGAGCAGGCGTTAGTGTGTCAGCCACCCCAAATCCCCATCAATCTTGTAACCTGTTTTCTGAAGGATTCAAGGATCCTTGCCACTGCATTTTTGTTAGGTAACACCAACAGTGAAGTAGATTACACTCACGCGTATTACCACTGCAGCCGAGTCTTGGCATAAATGCTGGCTCATTCTCTGACCCCACCAATTCACACCGCTTGCTCCTGTACCCGCAGTGTTTCTTAGCTGTACCAATGCAATCATTTATAAGCCAAATTTGCTTCTATTGGGTCTGCTAAGCCAATATTGTGGCAGAATATTGTTATATTGTATTGTCAAACGATCGTCTCATTTTACTGTGAAAATATGACCTACGTACGAATTAAGTCTGCTGTAGTCAGTAGCAAAGCTGAAGACAATGAAATGGACTCTGAAATGACACATACAGAAAATAGGACTCTGTCACGGAGACTTTGAAGTGATAATAACTTTGAAATTGTAGTCTTCCTCTTTATTGCCATAATTTTCCCCTCAAGTAAGAATCTTCATTTTAATCTTTGGAGTGATAGAGAATAGTGATCACTTCAGCACAGTTTTTTGATTCATCATCATGTAACATTATCTGAATAATCATGAAAATTGAAAACAGAAGTATCTCCTGCCAGAGAATGATTTGTATTAATAAGGTGCTGTGTAGGAAGGTCTGTAATGAGATTCAGGTAGTAGTAGTTGAAAAATAGAGTTGCAGCAATCTATTTCTAAATTTCTAAAATAGGGCTAGTTCATTAATGATCAGAACAAGAACATGGCATTCTTCTTAGATGCACGGTTATAAACAAGAAGCCTATTTCTCAAAACTCAGCCATGTCTTAATGCAATTCTTGTTTTCTTGCATATTTGGAAGCTCACATTGGTTTGATTGGATGTTGCGTTAGGACAGAGGCAAGTACAAGTGGCAGGATAATTTTTGTTCTATGTTTCTAGTTGTTAAGATTGGTGTTGTGTGGTACAGGTAGTTGTACTAGGTATAAATACACAGATTAAATACATGGAATTGATCTTGCAGGATGCTTCAAGAGCAGCCCTAAGGATTTCATATAAAGTACAGTTTGCAAAAGGCTTCAGATTCTTAAAGTTTGTCTGTGGAATAGCCGTGGACAGATAGAATTTTGTAATCCAAAGTAGGAAGCTGTGTGCCCCATCTAGGTAACTAGAAATCTAGCTACTCTTTTTGCTAGTATAAATTCTGTGTATGGAAATTCCATTAATCAATGTTGAAAGTATTACAGCTGTAAAACAGGTAGGGTGTTAAGATCAAGTCCTGGAGATAGTTAGATTTCTTAGTGTCATTAATGGTTACATCAGTTTATGTAAGCATAGGAGTCAGTATGTAGTTGAACTGTGGAGTTCATGTGAACGTTTGCAGGATTAAAATCTTGAACCTCTTGAAAATGTCACTAGCAACTATCTAGGTAAAAAATGTGCCATTTTTAAAGCAAAGTTAATACTTCCATAGACCACTTGAAGATGCATTAAATGATATGCTCAATAATCATCACTGTTTATTTCTGACTGAGTTTCTCCATCCCAGTAGCTGCTTTTGTGTAGACATACATAACATAGACTCTCTAAAATGTGCCCAAATTTGGAAAATTTCAGCCTGGCAAAAACTTGCAAGTAAAAAGTTTCAATTATGAATAGTAGAGTAATCAGTAATTACAATTTATTATTAATATATTTTTAACGTTTACTTTGGCAGCTCTGATTATCTTTTATTGTACAATGAGGTCAATTAGGATTCAGCAGATCTCGGAGTCAGTTGACAATGATGTTTATAATTAGAGGAAAGAGGAAAGGTTGGTAGTTTTTTCTCTTCCTCATTAGGGCTGTCTGACTGAGCCAATTTTATTGCTATCTTAAAGGCAGTTAAAAAGGTCTTGTGACTGTTTCTTAAATGAATTGTTCTGCAAAATGCTGCTGTCTTTTTAACGATACCCCATCATTAGTATGGATAAACAGTTCCTATTAACATTTAAATTATGTAATTCATTGCTTTGATAGGAAAAGATAAATGTAAGTTATTTTGCATTTCACCCTCCAACCTATGAACTGCAAGGATACGAATTCTATATAACTGTATTTGGCTTTTTGGAAGCTAAACTAAAAGGGCTGCAAAGTCAAAACCAAGTTTAGTCCTGAATTCTTGTTTTTGACAGCTATTAAACAGTAGTTTCTACGAAGCAGTGC